ACTTTTGGTTTATTCATGAGTTTCAGGTCATTACACATATGATTAGATGCTCCTGTGTCAACTATCCAAGAGCCTATTCCTATGAAGTCACAAGTATGTAAAGCATGAATATCATCAGATGTAAGAACAGAACCTGCGAAATCCTCCAAATGTGCAAAGTTCACCCTGTTGTTGCCTTTCCCCTTGAAGATTTTGACTAGTTTCTGTTGAATTACTTCACCTAGATTCATCCCCTGTATCTCCTGTTGTATCACCTCATTCAGATTCATTCCCTGTAACTCTCCCTTCAATCTGTCTCCTGTTTCTTCACCCATCAGATCTAAAGGAGTCTCAGCTAAATTAGCCATATGTCTTCCTTTCTTCCTTTCTCTAAGGTCCTTATACCAGTCAGGATAGCCAATAATCTTGAAGCATGATTCCTTATTATGTCCATTAATTTTGCAATTCGTGCAATACTGCAGCTCCTTGTCCTTTTTGTTCTCATATTTCTTCCATTGTCCCTTTGCTCCATTGTCCCTTCTGTATGACTGTGATTTAGCATACATAGCATTGATCTCAGCTCCTTCACCATACACAACCTGCACCTCCCTTTGCTTCTCTATTCTCTGCACCATTGAGTAGGCTTTGTTCACCATAGGTAATGGTTCTGTGACTAAGATTTGACTTCTCACATGCTCATACTCCTCGTTCAATCCCATTAAGAACTGCATCAACCTGTTAAATGAAGTCATTTCTGTGGATGCCTTTGCTGATCCACAAGTACATTGCGGCAATGTCATGAGGTAAGTCAGTTCATCCCAAAGCCATTTAAGTTTTGTGTAATACTGTGTTACACTCAAACTCCCCTGTGTCATAGTAGAAATTTCCCTCTGGATCTGGTACAATTGAGGTCCGTTACATCCTCCGAACCTCTCTTCAATTTCAATCCACAGCTCTCTTGCAGTGGTGGTGTATAAAAAAGCATCTACAATATCCTTCGAGATTGAGTTCAGAATCCATGAGGTAACCATGTAATTAACACGATTCCACCTCTCGTAATCAGTTGAATCCTTGCTTGGTTCTTCAACTGAACCATCAATTATCCCCAATTTCATTTTCGC